AAGCCAGGGACGTTTGGGGATCCCCAAAACTAGCCCAGAGTGTTTTCAAAATTAGAGCTTTTCCCTCCCTCAGTCTCTGGTCACATTCACTTGCCGTCTTCTCTAGGTCAGCCTTTTGTTGCGGATTTAATGCTGGCTCATCCTCTTCATCCAGCTCAGCCTCTGCGATCAAAGCAGCCTCCACGTCCTCATTTGCTTCCATGACTTTAGTGGCCTGTAGTGAGAGATTTTTGAAACTTTCTTTGAGCTCCTCCTCACACATGTCCAAATGTGTCCTAGAAACTGAATTGGCAAGCCGAGAAAAGAGTCTTTTTGCACTGGTTCTTTCAGCTTTGAGCTGCTCTAACGACTTTGTCTCCGCCATATCCTTTGGCTGTATCAACAGAACAATAATGCACACTTTGGGATAATGCTAGAGCAGTTTACTTTTCTTCTCCCAGGCCTCCAGGTGAGTTTCAAGGTCCTCCAATCCTGGCGGTTTTTTACTGTCAAGCGTTTATGTGACTGTGCGTTTTCCCCACACTTGAAAGAGATAGGTTCTTCTCACTATCTGAAGCTATAAACTGGATTCCACTCAATGATTAGGCCTTTGAATTTTTTCCATCCATTTATTTACTTGTAGGTAAAAAACCGGCTGTCACTCCAGAGTTCTTTTGGTGAGTACCCAGTCCCGCACAGTGTTCAAAACAGACACCAAGCTCTACTTCTTGAGCCAGCGCTGCTGTCTGCCGTAGCATTAGTTCCCAGTGCACACAAACAATAGAAGCGGCGTGTTGCCTTATCCAGCCTGTGCACGCGCAACTGATTTCAGATTAGCTTCACCTGGTACTAATGAGGGAATGCGGAGTGACGCGCCGTTTGCCGCAACACCTCCCACTCGATCTTTCATAGTTCTCTGTGAAGATCGCACAGCTAGGCAACCGCTTTGTTTGTAGCCTTTACTCTTTCTCCATCTGCTCTTCAATTGGGAGAAGAACAACAAGTCGTCTAACGTCCCTGTGCAGCACAGTACCCTGACAGACCCTCTTCCTATCAGAAGATGCAGATTCTCTGACAGTTGACCTCTGGACAGGGACACAATGGTTTGGAGAAACTCGAACATTCACATCCCTTACGATGCCCCTTGGATCAGAGTTTACACTAATGACCCTCCCGAGCTTAAACTGTCCCCTTAGTGCATTTTGATCGCATAGCCAGACGATGTCTCCAACAGCGACGTTCCTCTCTGCTGTATGCCACTTGTTCCGAACAAACAGATTTGGACCAGCAAGTTGGCTCCAGGATCTCCAAAAGTAATTGACTTGAGTTGTTATCTCTCGTAACCTCTTATAGGGATAGCTAGCAAAATCGAATGTCTTGGAGTCCCCTGTCTGTGTGGCTCGACCAAGCAAAAGTGTGTTTGGCGTAACATATTGTATGCAGCCCTCCCGGCTCTGAACTCTTGCATCAATGGGACGTTCATTTGCAAGATTTGCTGCAAGTTGAAGTGCTGTTAAAAACTCACTGAAAGTGAGGTCTGACCCTTTTCCAAGACTCTGGAGCGCTCTCTTTGTAATACGCACTGCAGCTTCCGCAGCTCCGTTCCGATGTGGTGAGTCGGCTGGATGAAATTTCCAGACAAACTGTGTTCCATTCTTAACTGCATACTCTTCCAGGGTTCCTTTGTCTTGACTTTCCAGGAAGCCATACAGATCTTTCAGTACAGGTTTTGCACCAATGAAATTGGTTCCTGGATCGGACCAGACCTTTCGGGGGTGACCTCTGAGTGCAGTAAACCTCTGGTATGCCAATAGGAAGCTCTCTGTAGATAGCGTATTAGCCAGCTCTGTATGAATAGCTCTACTTGCCATACAGGAAAAGACAACTCCCCATACTTTCATTGATGCTCTTCTCTTGACATCGTCCTTTACTTGGTAAGGTCCAAACAGATCGATGGCGGTGAACTCAAATGGTGCACAAGGTCTCGTTCTCTCTTCAGGTAGCTTGCCCATTACTTGTTGACATGTTTTAACTCTTGCCTTTTTGCAGGAGACACATCGGTTAACGACTCTTTGAGCAACCCTTCTTCCTCTCAAAACCCATGCCCTTTTACCCATCCTCAGTAAGGTGCCCGCCACTCCATCATGCCCCTCATCATGAGCTTCACGAGCCAACAAGGTTGAAATCCAGGCATCAAAGGGTACGAGGGGAACAGCTTTGAGATCCTCCTGGAAGGCTTGAACTCTGCCACCACACACCAGAAGTCCAGTTGCCATGTCTCTGTACACAACCAGTCGATCCATTGTGGTGTTTGAGAAGGTCACACCTTCTTGAACTGCTAGGCAGAGGTCCCTAAATGCATCTCTTCTCTCTTGGAGAGTGATGATACCAACTGAAGATACCGCCTCCCACTTTAGTTTGTCCATTGTCTTGACTCGAAGGAACTTCTTTGCAGCTCTCCAGACCAATGCCACTGTCTTGATCAGCCGTGTTAGATTGCTGAATCTCTTCACATCAATTAACTTTTGAACTGTTATTCCACCAGGTGGTCTACTTGGCTCCATCCGGGTTGAACTCTGGTTTTCCACTGGCTCTTGTTTCTTCAGCTGAGCTCTGGTAAGCGCAGCAACAAACGCTTTCTTTTGGATCTTGGTGAGGTTTTCTCTGGCTGCCGCAGCAACATCTTTAGCCGATCTAATTGGCCACTCATTTACTGGTTGACTGATGAACTTCGGACCTGACTGCCACTCAGAATCATTATCCAAATCTTTTGGGCCAGCCCCTCTCGTGATAATGTCTGCAATATTCATTGGCCCTGGAACCCACCACCAATCCTGCACGTTAGTGCTGCTTTGAATCTCTCCAATTCGATTCGCAAAAAAGGTTTGGTAACCATAACTTTCACGCTGTATTGCTCCCAAGATGGTCTGGCTATCAACAAGATGGTACCACTTCTCAACTTGAATCCTGCAATGCCTTTGGAAATATTTCTTTAACCGGGCAGCAAATACAGCTCCGCACACCTCCGCTTTTACGGCGTCGCCCTTATGGTCAAGGGGGGTTAGTTTGGCCTTGGATTCGACGAGCCTCACAGTAATGTCTTGACTGCAGCTCCAACGCAAATACAATACTGCTCCATATGCTTGTTCACTGCCATCGGAGAAGGTGATGCCAAAGGGTTCAGCGGCGGCATCTGGGGGTGTCAGGGATCTGACAAATTGTACTTGCCCAAGCTCAGAATACTCTTCCAGAAGCTTGATTGCATCCTCCCGGAGCCCTTCTGACAAAGCTGCATCCCAGGTATTCTCGCTTAGGCCATAGTTAACTTTTGCCTCTTGAAATGCTCTTCGCACCAGAATTGCACCTTTTTGCTTAGCAGGGGTCACCAAGCCTAGTGGATCATAGAGCCCTGAGACTTGACTTAGAAGTTCTCTTCTGGTGAGTGGATTTGGCGTTTGTGATCTTACCTCCTCCTTCAACAAATTTTGGCCAAGTCTCATCTTTTTCTTCTTCTTTGAGAAGTTTACAGCAATCATGACATGAAGCTTGTCATCTTTTACTGTGTATCCCAGGCCAAGGGCTTTATTGTCCTCTTCTGTCAGCTGATTTGGTAAGAACACAGTCTGTGGCTCAGTCTCTTTGTCTCTGGACTCTTTCCTCCCACTTTGATCGGAGTATAGCCAGGGCTTGATGTGGAATCCACCAGTTTTTAAGATCTGCTCGACATTAGACGTGATGAGTTTCAGTTGATCCATGCTGTTGTGGGAAGTCAGGATGTCATCGACATAAACATCTTCTTGCAGCACACGTCGCTCTTCCTTGAAGTGACTGAATATGGGTAAGTTTGCGGTCTCCCGCATAGCCAGTTGAGCAATGCAGCCTGCCGGTTTGTCTCCAATATTTACCCTTGTTATAGCATATTCTTCAATCTCATCTCCTGCAGAATCACGCCAGAGGAATCGGTGCAGATGGACTTCTCGTTCTTCCAGCCAGACAGAGTTATACATTTTCCGTATATCGCCCAAGGCAGCAAAGACTCCAGCACGGAACCTCAACAGAACAGCACGAATGGGGTTGAGCACGTCAGGACCTTTGAACAGCAGATCATTCAAGCTCAAACCTCTAAACTTTTGGCTGCTATTCCAGACAAGCCTTACTGGGGTTGTGACTGAGTGAGGATTTGGAGCGATTAGGTGACTGATGTACCAAACTGGCCCGGTCCAGCTCTTTAACACCTCATTTGACAACTTTACTGCAGCTTTGCGATGGACCATGTCATGCACTTGCGCTGCGTAGGCAACTTTCCATTCTGGTTCCTTTGCCAGCTGTTTTTCTGTCCTGAGGAATGTCGCTTCAACAGCCCCTCTGTTGTTTGGCAAGGAAACCGGATCCTCTCTCCATGGATATCTAACATGCCAGTGTGGTTCCTCACAGTGCTCATCTCCATTCACGTACGTCAAGCCATTTTTAACCATTTCTGCCTCTCTTTCCTCAGCAAGTGTCATCTCTTTGCCCCCTGGCTGGCAATTCCCGCAGCGACAACCACCGCACTTGGGCTCGCAAGCGGCCCCAATGCTGTCCCACTTCCACCATTCCAGGATATCTCGCTTGAGGGCTGCAGTGCTAGAATGAGCAACAGAACACATGGGAGACTGATGATCAGCTGGACTTTTACAGGTGAATTCTTCGTACTTAACTGCTGCAGTCCTCATTGAGCGTGCAAAATGAGTTTTTGACATATGTGCAGTTACAGCAAGCTCTTCAAAAAAGGTCAGGGTGACTACCTCCGATAGTTTTCCCAGTGGCCGTCCCAGAGGACAAGGTCTCCAACTGCAACGAATCTTCTGGGGCACCAGCTGTCCTTCCCTATGACTTATCAGGAGTTGGATTTCTCTGGTCTTACCAGCTCATGCAGTGGAACATCAGGGAATATTCTTTGCAGCTTCTTGGCCGTCACATGTCATTGATCATCTCAATACCTGTAAACCTAACCCCACCCATAATTTGTGAATTATAGGGTAATGATAGGTGAAAAACTCTGATGTTAAAGTACTTCACCCTGATTCTAAGCCTAAACTTGACATAAACTGTAAACTTGTTTTATGATACGAGGAAAGCCAAGCACTGAATCTTGCGTGTTCCCTTGTACAGGGACTGAACCGAGATCAGAGTGTCACGCATCCAGAGCTGCGCCGAATGACTCTGCTTGTGAGGTGAGTTTGAATTCACTTGTGTTTTGAAATTGACCAGTGGTTAGAAGTAATGGGATGTTCCTTGGAACAGTTTTCAGTGTTTTAATAAACCTCTTGCAGCTACAGTACGGTGGTTATGTCCTCTATTCAGTATGGATGGTCTGGATGGTGTGGAGTGTGCACACACTGGCAGTTCAATAGTGGAAGTCTTCGTTTCAGCACATGTCATTGATAGCAAAGGAAAGGTCCTTCATACCTAGAGTTTGTGTGTGTTACAACCTGTCCTCACATAACATGAATTTCCTGTAACACACACAGGGTGAAACTACAGTTTCAGCATTGTAAAGTGGCTAGTTAAGGAATAGGGTTTTCCCTATTTTATATACATTCTTAGTTGTGGCATCTACGTGTACCTATATGGTTCATGGACCATGGTCAGCTGTTTCTTGCGGCTTGATGGTAAAATTATTTTTTTTCAGTGACATGTCTCCCCTATACAAAATGGTTCCTAATTTTGTTCAAAATTCTGTCTTTGCACATATGCAGTATTATCATCTGTGCCAGTTGATGCCTGTTCATCTTTGCATATTGCTGTTCTTGTTTTAGGTACACCATGTCAGAGGTCAATGTGGCACTTCTGAGAAAGAGGGGATTGGTGAAGTTGATGTCCAGCCCCAGGAGGGCTCGCCCCCTGTGTCATCAACAGACCCTGCCAGTGGTCAGTTATAGTTTTGAGTAAATGTTGTTGACTTCTGGGAATGAATGTCATGCCTCCTAAGGGTTTAAAGCATAAAAAACATCTGGCACTGTCAGGCTATTTTTAGATAATTATTTTATGGTTTGATGGACATTTTGAGTAGAACTTTGTCTATCAGGGATGTGAGTTGACTATGTTTTGCCTATATGTGGTTTTATGATATGAGGAAAGCCAAGCACTGAATCTTGCGTGTTCCCTTGTACAGGGACTGAACCGAGATCAGAGTGTCACGCATCCAGAGCTGCGCCGAATGACTCTGCTTGTGAGGTGAGTTTGAATTCACTTGTGTTTCGAAATTGACCAGTGGTTAGAAGTAATGGGATGTTCCTTGGAACAGTTTTCAGTGTTTTAATAAACCTCTTGCAGCTACGGTGGTCATGTCCTCTATTCAGTATGGATGGTCTTTTTCTGAGTGTGCCACACACTGGCAGTTCAATAGTGGAAGTCTTAAAGTTTGAGCATGGATGTCTTTGTCCTTGCATACCTAGAGTTTGTGTGTTACAGGAATATTCATGTTATGTTAGGACAGGTTGTAACACACACAAACTCTAGGTATGTAAGGACACTTTCCTTTGGACTATCAATGACATCCGTGCTGAAACTAAGACTTCCACTATTGAACTGCCAGTGTGTGGCACACTCAGAAAAAATCCAGTGTTGGGGGGACACCGTGATTAGAAAAGACCATCCATCCTGAATAGAGGACATAATGGATGGGCAGCTTCTGTCCTGCAGAGTTTAGCACCACGCCGAATTAAACACACCTGAAAAAGCTAGTCAATGTTTTCAGGATTACTAGAAAAGAGTTTGTCAGGGTTGGAGCTAAACTCTGCAGGACAGAAGTTGCCGTCCTGTGTGAAGCTGCCCATCCATTATGTCCTCTATTCAGGATGGATGGTCTTTTCTAATCACGGTGTCCCCCAACACACACTGGGAGTTCAATAGTGTTAGTTTCAGCATGGATGTCATTGATAGTCCAAAGGAAAGTGTCCTTGCATACCTAGAGTTTGTGAGTGTTACACACGTACAAAGATTTTTACCTTTTTTTTCACTTTTTTTTTTTGTTTTTACTTTAGTTTCTTAGAATTGGCTTTACTTTTCTTGCTTTGCTTAATTAGATAGTCCAGGTTTAATCAACCTATTTTCTTGCAGTTTGAGGTTATGTAGTGCTGTGGCTAGAAAGAAGAGGATAATCAGTTTCCTTGCCCCTATAAGTTAGTTGCCCGCTTTTTTGCTAGTGGTCTGTATTGTAGATTTTTTTTTTTTTTTTTTTTTTCAACCTACAGCACTCGCTGACTTTTTACAGATAATAGAAGTTAAGCAGAGTAAATCTAAATTTGGCTTTGGACACAGATTCAGAAACTAGATGTGTTGGTTTTTTTAAATGCCAGATGAAAGTTTACTTAATTATTCTGAGGAGATGTTGTTTTTGCCATCGTTCCAAGCAGAAGTAAATCTTTCTCTTTTGTGTGTGTGACGAGTGACACCCCAACAGTTAACCAACCTAAACTTAAGTCATATGAATTGAATATATTTACTTTGCTATTATATCTCAAAAGTAACTTATTTCCCCCTTTTTTTTATCTCTCCTGATTTTATCTCTTGGTTGTGTGAAAGTAAAAAAAAACTCACACAAAAAAATTAATTCATGATATAATTTGTGTGTGTAAAGGTTTTATATTTATATTTGTTTTAAAAAAATGTTTTCACAGTGTACAGTCCATAAGCTGGTTTTTGAACTGGTGAGAATTGACAAATGCTGGATATGCCATTCACCTTTGACATCTATCAAATGGCACGGTGTAAGATGCAAACGTAAGTGTGTTATTCATTTTCTCCTAATTAATGCATTCCTCAGTACACCATAAGTTGTTTAATTTCATGTTATCGGTCAGTTCCAGACTCGCACCTATAAAGCATGTTGATTAAATGTTTTATCAGTTCAAAAACCATTGCGGTGGAAAACACTGGAGTGGCAGATACTATGACGTACCAGGCAAGTGAGTTTGCAAGCTGAGGCACATAGCAAAGAACAGAGAGCATACCTGCAAACTTGTTGCCTTTTGGCTAAATTTACCATTTTGGCATTTCTAATCAGATCGCGCAGGGTTTCCCTAACCCCTGGAGACTTTCGTTTTTGGATGTTGAACAAGTTCTTAATTCCTTTGCTGTGATCATTTATATTATTAGGCTAACTGTCCTATTGCTCTTTGTTGATTAGACTTAGGCCTAAGTTAGGCTACAACGTAAAATTCTCACAAATGTTTTCTTCTTTCATCCGGTTCGCTGCAGCTCAGCTAAACGCGTCTTTAATGGACTTTATTCATTGGTGTGACGGAAATAAAATGACAACTTATAGAGGAGTTGTTTGCAATGTTAACCCAATCGCACAATAAGCGAAACATCGCTGTTTGAATTTGTTGTAGACAAATTTCAACGATCCCATATTTGCGACGATAACAATGCAAAAACGGCAGTTCTTTGTTTGATGTGCTACGTGAACATAGGGCAATATTTGTGCTTCTTCGTCAGCATTTTTAAAGATTCGCTTGGCTGAGAAGCATAATGCACAAACATTTCATTACGTCTAATGAGTAACAACAAGCAAAATGCCCTCAAGTCCGTGGTGCACTCATGTCATTGCTAAAGTCTTTCTGTAATTATGCATATGCTCACAAACTTCAAATAGGATGTTAAACACTTTGAGCAGAAACTTCAAACTTGCAAATTTCTTTTTGTCTGACCAATAAGCATTTCCAAGTGTTTTTATATATATATTTTTTTTACTTCGTGCCTTCCAATAAGTCACTGGGCCTTATTTACGCATCTGAGTTGATGATAGTTTCAGTGGGCTTTTCGAGTGGAATTAGAATTTAGTTTGGCTGATTGAGATGATAGATGAACTGTATATAAAAGCTCATAATGAACCAAAAAATTAGGGCTAATAAATCAGGACCTAATTCAATAGAGCCACCGAGCAATTGGCTATCCAAATGCTTGGAGGTGTCTCCACACCTTTCCAATGACTTTCCTTTTTATTCTCACTAGCCTTATTAATTAATGTAGGATGAACATTTCATAATTTCTGTTCCCCATTAGACTATTCTGCCAGAACTCTCTGGGCCAAGGATGCATTCTGAATCATAGCTTGTATGGCCTCACACCTTCCATGTTGCACATTTAAAAAAGAATGTGTTTTGTCAGGTCAGGCTGTTAATGTGTCTGTTTTTACAAATGCTCTGCCACTCCAGTGAATTCTGCCTTAATGGTCGAAACCTGTCTACTTTTTGTCTAAATGGAAAGTTTTAGCCATCACTCAAACTGTGCATTTGTACTGAACAGTTCATTTTGTTAGTATTTCTTGATCATTAGCGTGAAGCTGTTTGCATTTAATAAGAAAATTAGTATGTAATTGGTCAGCATGGGGAATTGACTAATTGTTGTCTAACGCTGCCTAATTTTGTCTGTGAAGAATGTTCTAGTGTGTGGCGTGAAATCTGCCTCCAGAAATCCTCAGAAGACTGGGATATTTCAGATGTAAGTGTGCATTGAAGTACAATATGCTTAATATCAATAGGATGGCTCTTATCCATCCTTCCTATTTGTATTTCTGTTAAAGTATGCTGTTAACTAAATTTAAATTTCATTAATTAATTTAATGTACTTTACAGGACGATGTCTCATCTGGCGACGAGTACATCCCAGCGTCTGTATCGGATTCAGAAAGCTCAGGGACAGAGTTGAGTGTTGAGTTGCCTGGACCATCCAAAAAGTCCCATACCACTACTAATTTGCCTGATTTAGGTGTTACTTTCCCTGAACAAGACCAGACCATAGATATAGAGGACAACTCAAGGGATATCTGTAAGAATATCCTGATGGATCTAGAAACTACTGGCGATCTCCAAAGTGACCCAGAACCAGAAAGCTCAGAGTCATACCTGCGGAAAACAAAAGATGCGAGTAACGAAAAGGGTACTGTGGGTGTTCTTGGCCAAAGTAAATCCCCAACCAAATCAGCGAAATTCATTTATTGTTTTGTATGTGAAAAACCTCCAACAAAATTTGCACGTCATCTCGAGAGGCATGTCAATGAAAATGCTGAAATCGCACAGGCGCTCCAGTTCCCAAAAAATCATCAAAGGACAGAAAGGTTCTTCTTGAGAAATTCCGAAACCTTGGCAACTTCGAGCCTAACTCTACTGTTAAAACCACAGGGTCAGTTCCAAACAGAGCAGCAGCACTGAGACTTACGATCACTGCTTGTACTGTAAGGGTATGTTATCCAGAGCCGAACTTTCTCGGCACATGAAGAGATGTGCTCTAAGACCTGAGAATAGTACTGAAGAGGGACCTGAGTTTAGAGAGAGAGAGCCTTTGGTATAGCATCTGCTCAGTCTACAATGTCCCAGCCAATTTCAAGTGAACTTTGGTCCGTGTTGGGCAAAATGCACAGGGATGACGTGTCCACTGCAATAAGGAATGATCATTATATCATGCAGTTTGCCCAGTCCCTCTTTAATAAGCATGGGAATGACAGATCAAAGCATGAGTATATAAGACAGAAAGTACGGGAACTTGGGAGATTACTTGTGACTTTGCGCCACGCAACTAGAATCCATAACATGGAAGAAGCGATAAAACCATGCAACCTCTTTATTCTTACTAGTGCCGTCAAGAGAGTTTCAGGTTTTGATCGTGAAAACAACACTTTCAAAGCCCCAAGTTTGGCCCTGAAAATTGGGCATTCTCTCAGAAAGATAAGTGACCTCATCATGTGTCGTGTCCTCATGGAAGAGGACCAAGAGGCGATCGATTCCATCAGGAGGTTTCGTGCACTTCATGAAACAAAGTGGTCTGAATTAGTTTCCCATTCTGCCTTATCTAACCTGAGTGAGGCAAAATACAACAAGAGCAGCAGGCTTCCACTGGCCAAAGACGTTCAGAAGCTACAGTTATATCTTGGTCAGCAAGTGGAATTGGCTAAGGAGAAACTAGCCGAAGACCCAACAACAGGCACTTATGCAGCACTAGCAAAGGTGACCCTCTGTCAAGTCATTTTGTTTGACTTCAGTGGCACGGATGACTGTAAAAAATGTTGAAGGTCGTGACGTGTCACAGCTAAACGATGACATAAGCACTGGGCTGACAGAAGTTGAGAAGAGACTTTGCAAACAATTCGCCAGCGTAGAATTGAGGGGGGGGGGGGATCGGGGGGGGGAGGACGAAAGGTTGCTGTGATCCTGACCCCTGATATGACCGCTAACCTGTCACTCCTCGTTAGTAAGCGGAAAGAGTGTGGAGTAACAGAAAACAACAATTACCTGTTCGCTGTTCCTTGTAGTGATGGTCACTACAGAGGGCAGTTTGGTAAATATGCAGATGCTTGTGGAGCCGAAGATCCTCAAAACCTCAGATCAACTTACCTTGGCAAACAGATCGCCACAATAAGCCAAGTCATGAACTTGAAAGATTATGAACTGGACCAGCTGGCCGATTTTCTCGGCCATGACATTAGGGTGCATAGGGAGTACTGTCGACTGCCCCAGTCTACAATTCAGCTGGCTAAGATCTCAAAGCTGCTTATGGCTATGGAGAAGGGAAGTGTGAAGGATATTCAAGGAAAATCTCTGGACGAAATTGGTGGTACGTATCATGTACATGTTGTTAAATCTACTTTGGTGTATGTGTAATAAAATGTGTTAATTTTTACAATGTCATTTAATAGATGGCATAGACGACGATATGGATACAGGATCACAACTACTCCTTAATGTTTCCACATTGCAAGGTACTGTTAAATTGGGTTCCAAGGCTACTGAAATTGTTGCATGAAATGAAATGTCGAAGAAATGTTGGCTTCTGGGACTTTTGAATCACCTCACCTCTCCGAGACTGCAGCTCAAGGTATAATCTGAATGAAGGACCCAAAGTTTGCCCAACAAATATCATGTCATCATTCGAGTTTATTAAAATGTTTTAGTCAGGAATTTTCCAGTAGTATGATGGTTATAAAGTTGGCTAGTATTTTGATGTGTTCAGTAGTTTGCATGATCATTTTAAAACAACAGTGAAGACTTGGACAGGGTAAAATCTACATCATTTCCTAGTAAAATTATCACTCGGGTATAATATATAGAATTGGCTGTCTACAGTGCTACGTGTATCCCCTCCATGCCCATGGTAGGCAGACACGCTCTTTAAGCCCATACATTTATACTGTGCGATATTTTTTTTTTAGATGACCAGGGGAACGCTGCCTGTGTAACTTCCAGATCACCTCATCTCCCCGACTCAGTCACTCAAGGTATTGTATTAATGCGATGCCATGTCCATCACTAGGCACCACTTATGTGCAGTCAACACTTACATTGGTTGGCAGACAGGCTCTTTAAGCCCATACATTTATACTGTGCAATATATATATTTTTTTTTTAGATGACCAGGGGAACGCTGCCTGTGTAACTTCCGGATCACCTCACTAATGTGCAGTCAACACTTACGTGGTTTGTTTAGACGTATAATGTATTAAAAGAAGCTGGATGTGTTGTTTTTTAATAAGGAGTGTTTTAGCAGAACTAAAGTCAATTTGTTATCACACACATTGTCTACACAAGTTCCAGCTTGTTTGTCAATTTTGAACAGCAACATCCCTACCTACAAGTACATCTTGATGGCTCTTTTATCTTTTGTTTTTATCTTCTAATATTTTTTTAATTGTTCAGGTTTCCATGGTCTGAGGAGGAGATACGAGCTGTGATGAAACATATGAGGCCTTTAATTGAAAACGGTGTCACTGCCACCAGTGAGCAGTGTCTGAAGTGTCACAACAACCTATCTTGGAGAAAAGATCCATTCAGAACATTCGAGATTTTGTCCGCAACGGGGGCTTGGCGTTTAAAAGACATTCAAATGCTAAGCGCTAAATGCACTTTTGGATCGCCTTAGCCTTTACCTTTCTAGTCATGTTTCGCAAGTTGCTGTTCTATGTTCAGAAATGTTTTAGGTCACTCAAAGGTTAGTTCGCCATAAAAAGTATAACGATGTCATTTAATGACTCGCCCTCATGTCGTTCCAAGCACGTAAGTCCTCTGTTCATCTTCTGAACACAGTTGAAGATATTTTAGATTTAGTCCGAGAGTTTTCTGATCTTCCATTGAACACGCGTGTACGGTATACTGTCCTTGTCCAGAAAGGAAATAAAGAATTGTATTGTCTTCCCAGTGACCCTGCTGATGACGTGTTGATCTGGTGCACCCGAGCGTTGTTGACTGTCTGGGGGAGACGCACACTGTATTCAAGCTATTCTACATTGTTTGTATTTTAGTATTTTTTTACAATGGTGCGCCAGTGTGCGTGTCGCAGATCCTAATCGCCAAAAGCGCTCGGGTGCACCAGATCAACACGTCATCAGCAGGGTCACTGTGAAGTTGACAACAGACCGGGAAGACGACGCAATGCTGAATGAAGTCGTAGTTTTTTTTGTTATTTTTGGACCAAAATGTATTTTCGACGCTTCAAAACATTGTAACTAACCCACTGATGTCACATGGACTCCTTTGATGATGTCTTTATTTCCTTTCTGGACAAGAACAGTATACCGTACACACATGTTCAATGGAGGAACAGAAAACTCTCAGACTAAATCTAAAATATCTTTTATCATGAACCTATCTACATACCTATAATATTGATACTCTAGCGCATCTAAAGTCAAGGTCAGCCGAGTCTAACACTGTACTCTAGCACGTCTACACATTGACGGCGGCTATGTGTTAATCCTACGCTCTAGCGTAGAGGTTTACTTCCAACCTGCTTCAGCACACCTGCCTTTGTATTTTCAAGCAAACCTGAAGAGCTTGATGAGCTCATTCAATTTATTTTTAGAAGGCATCTCACGGAAGCTGTAGGGTTGACAGTTCGGTAATATATTCCATATTATTATAATGGTGTGCCTTAGTCACTTTGGTCTTATAATCCATGTGTCCTTTCAAAGCAGGTTATATTTGGTGTTTGTGTATGGTAACTTGGCCTTATACACCTTCTGTCCTTTCAAAGCAGGTTATATTTTGTGTATGTGTATGGTGACTTGGCTTTATACACTTTGCGTCCTTTCAAAGCAGGTTATATTTGGTGTATGTGTATGGTCAAATCATTGACCCTGCACACCACAATGTCCTTATAGCCCGTGTTACAGAAAAGTCTTCACAAACCACCAGAAAGTCTGAAAAAGAGCCATTTTTTATATCTCAGTTGTCCAAAGAAAATCTTTTAGTTTTAAGTCGTGTATAGGTTGGCAGATTTTTTTTGAATGATTTTTGATATATATTTTGTAGCTCTAGCACCACTGGAACCCGGTGTCCCCGTAGCCCTATACCCAGTCTGATTTGCCAAAAATTTCAAAAATTGTCCCTGTAGCCCAACAAACGGATATGTGTGTGTGTGTGTGTGTGTGTGTGTGTGTGTGTTATACGGAAGGGGATATGTATGTGCGTCTATGTTCAGAAACTGCAGCCTATGTGATGCGTCTGTGTGTGTGCTCAGAGCTGCAGGCTGTCTGTGTGTATAGGTGTGTGTGTGTGGGGCTCCCTGCCTCTCCCCCTCTCCAACTGGATGTGTGTGTGTATGTGTATGAAGGTACAGGGCAATTCTGGAGGGAGGGGCTGCTTCGCTCTCTTTCTCTGTCCCTCACTCACAGAACAAAAGAAAAATTGAAAGAAAAGTTAACTCTAATGCTTTTCAGTATTTTAGTTTTCTTTTGAAAACTCAAAACAGTTTCTTTTCTTTTTTCTCTTTCCAAATATTTTGGATTTTATCTCAGGTTAATTTCTTTGGTATTTATTTTTCCCTTCAAATATTTGAATAGCTTTACGGTCACGTTCAGAATGCCCACGATCCTAGCTAGTTACAAGGGCGCCTTTTATACTTGTATAACTCTAGCGTGTTACAATGTTTTAGGGATTACTCTGCCATCATTTTTTAAAACAGTCCCGCCACATTTAACCGCTTTGGTCAATCAAGTATCACTTGTGTTAACTTTCCTTCGGTGTGCTGGATGTTTTAGGGTAAAAACAGTCCCGCCACTATCCAACCACGTCGCAGTTATGACCAAGCAAATTTTACTAGCTTAACCGTTTTACAGCTAATTCCAAATTTCTGACTAGATGGTCTTTTTTCTAAAAAAAAGATCCATCTCTATCCCAGCATTTCAAATATTGTTTGAGGTTTACTTTTCAGAGAACCTTAAATAAGCCTAATTCAATTTGATTATTTAATCCGATTAATTTTATACCAATT